CCTGCATATGATGAGCACCTGCTAGCTGCTCAGGAATGTGCACGAGGAGGGGACGGACCAAGCGAGCTGCGAGCCTGCCGCCGACCTTGCTCTCAAACGGGCGACGGAAGCGGCCGCTCGCTCCCTTGGTCAGGTGATGCCCACCACTGTGGTCCAGGAGCATCATCTAAATGTTTCGGCGGTGCGGTCCAGGACTTTGCCCAGCACTTCTCGACCGCCTAGGAGCAGATGGAGGTGGGTTTACACTTCTGCCCCGACGGCCAGCTGCTGCCTCCACCCAGCCGTCGGCTCAGACGCCTCCGCCAGCTCGCCACCGAGGACGCCCCCCTGCGGCTCCCTTCCGTCCCACGCGGCCCCAGCAGCAGCCTTCAGCCGGTTCGCGTCGTGGAGGAGGCCACAGGTAAGCGTCACAGCCCCCTCAGGCCGCGTGCCCCGCTAAACACCAGGCGAAGCGATGTTCCTGAGACGGGCTGCTCAGTGATAGTGTCACGGTTTTTCACAGGAGGCGGTAGCAGGGCCCCTCCTTCCCCCGGTGGAGGGCCAGTGGAGAATCTTTGTTCTAGCTAGCTCCTCGCTGCTCACCCGAGAGTGAGCAGCGCCTTGAGCTGGTTGAAGAAAAACTGACACTATCATTGAGCACACAGACTGGAATGAGCGCGCACGACGTCCCAGTGCGTCGCCCCGCTCATTCCTCTCTGTCTCTGAGGGTGCGGATGGGAGCATGTGTCGTCCCTCGACTACACCACTCCCCTCCCTCTCTATCGCCAGACCCCCAGCAGAACAGACCCCCGTGGAACACTGGTCCTTCCCTGGTCTCTTCTGTCGGGGAACGGGGCTCGACTGCATCCGCACGGGGTAACTCCTGTGTGCATGCCGGTCTCCCTGTACCGCTGCCCCTCCGGGGGGACGTCTGTGGTTCGCATGACTCCGCTGGTTCAGTTCCTGGGAGCTTGGCTAGAGCTCCTCGACCTGTCCCGCTGCGTCATCAGAACAATCAGATTCGGCTACGTGACTCAGTTCGCGAGGTCTCCTCCCCGCTTCAGGGGAGTTCGCTCTACGGTGGTCGGTGGCTATGCCCCGATCATGAGAGCGGAGATTGCAACCCTGCTGGCGAAGGGTGCAATCGAGACGGTCCCTCCAGCCGAGGTGAGGTCCGGGTTTACAGCCCATACTTCACTGTCCCCAAGAAGACCGCTGGGTTACGACCGATCCTGGATCTGCGCATTTTGAGCCACCGTTCAAAATGCTCACAGCCAAACGCATTTTCGAATGCGTCCGGCCGCAGGATTGGTTTGCAGCGTTTGACCTGAAGGACGCGTACTTTCATGTCTCCATTTTGCCTCGACACAGACCGTTCTCGGTTTGCCTCGAGGCCAGGCATCAGTACACGGTTCTCCCTTTCGGGTTAGCTCTGTCGCCTCGCGTCTTCACAAAGATCGTCGAGGCAGCCCTTGTTCTTCACGAACATGGGGTTCGCATCCTGAATTATCTCGACGATTGGCCGATGCACACTCTCGAGAACAGCTTTGCGAACACAGAGACCTGGTGCTCCGCCACCTAGCCCGTCTGGGCCTTCGGGTCAACCGGGAGAAGAGCAAACTTTGCCCCGTGCAGAGGATCTCTTTTCTCGGCATGGACATAGACTCGGTCGCCATGTCCGCGCAGCTCACGAACGAGCGCGCGCACTCACTGCTGACTTGTCTTCGACAGTTCGAGGGCAAGAATGCGGTCCCACTGAAACTCTTTCAGAGGCTCCTGGGGCATATGGCATCCGCAGCCGCGGCAACGCCGCTTGGATTGCTTCATATGAGACCGCTTCAGCTGTGGCGTCGCGATCGAGTCCCGAGGTGTGCATGGCATCGCGGCTTGCTTCGAGTTCCAAATTTCCGCAGCCCCAAGGCATTGCATGCCATTGGCTCGTGATTAAATACTCGAAGAGGATTGGCTTTCTATGCGAAACCCCCAATCTCCGTCACTTCTGACGTAACGTCTCCGTTCCCTACTCAGGGAACGAGGGTTACATTCGTAACCGAGACGTTTTCAATAAAAAAAAAAACACACAATAACACTCCCCGAGCACATTCGCATTCACCGCTCAATCGCTAATGACTGTCAGTACTATTGGTTACTACAGCTGAGCCTACAGTTTTCTAGCTAGCTATGCCTTTGACACGGACATGCATGGGTTACTACCTGGATGCGATCATACAAAACAAAACAGATCGGTATCTTCATTTAAATTCCCTTAAAAACGATCACATCAAGAAGAGGTTTTTAGAGAGCCTAACGTTACCTTGATGAAGAGCTGAGGATCACCCCCAACACCCGCCTCTGTAGTGATCATTTTACACTGGATCGTTTTAGAAACTTTCCTCAGAGACTACTGGGATTCACTGATAATTCACTGATAATCCGCTGTTACTGGTGAACGGGACCGAAACGACGATCTCCCGCCTCAGTGTTCATCCTCCCGTCTCCAAAAGCTAATCAGCTAATATCACCATCAACAGCTTTCCCGTGAGTGGGCGTGGTTTCAGCACAGCCAGCGAACACGCCCCCAGCGTTTGAGAGCAAAGAATCTGCTCATTTTTTCATGATTTTGATAGCTTATTTTATGTACTTCCCGACTTTTTTTATCATTCAAATTTGGCTGGGTGGTTAATTACACATTTTACTGTGGTGTGACAAACTTAGAACACATACTTAATTTTGACCTTACAGGGACTTTAATGTACTAAAAGCTTTTTATTTAATATTACATAAATATAATTAAAACATATACCTATTCAACATTTATATCTCCAAGATTATCTTGTTTTGGGAATTGCTATTAAAATAGAATCAGTAAATATATCAAAAGCAAATAGCCTAAGCAAATATTAAAATGGCAAAGCAATAAAATGCCTGTGTAAGCTTTTTTAATTTTATTTTTTATGCCTGTGCATTGTGTGCAAACTAAATAATATTAGGCCTACGACGACATTGTCTGTGACAACACAAGTGGATTTTTTAAAGGGGCAAGTAAAAGACATTTACTTGCCTGATCGGACAAGTAGCCTGATTAAAACTTCAGTGACAAAAAATAACTTGGAGAAAAGCGAGAACGGATTTTATTAACAGTTCTGATTACAAATGGATAACATTTCTGGTAAAGCTGAGGCCAGCGCAGCCTGCCTCTTTGTGAGAGACTTTAGTGGAGAAATCCAACCAAATGAGCGTAACAAAACACACAGAAGAAACATACATTCAAAATGTTGAGTTTAATATTAATAACATGACTTTTTTGCCGAATAATATTACGATTGCAAATGTTACATTGATTTAAGTTAAAAAACAGGTTGTTCATATTAAGTTACTTGCATTTCAAACACGACATTATTGACTGTTTTTGTTCAATTTTACCATCGAAATTAGTTCTAAACAAAGGAAAACAGCATTCAACGGTGTTTTACTAAATGATTCATCGTTTTGAATGAATCAGGTGAATCAATGACTTATTAGGTCATTAGGTCAACTTATTAGGCTAAGTGACTTGCTGCCACCTACTGGCAGTTTAGTTTCATGTTCAAAAGTATCATACATTTTTTTTCCCAAAATGTCTTATTTGTACATTCAAAGGTTAAATTAAAACATTAATTTTATAACATTTGTATAACATCATACAAATTAAGGAATCAATTTATTTTATTTACAAGTGTTTATACCAGTAATCCCCACTACAGCAAGGGCAATTTTTCCATGATTACCCCATTAATATGCTCACACACACAAATTTTCATGCACACACATTATCATACATACATTCATACACTTTCTCACTCCCACACACACAGACACACACACACACACACACACACACACACACACACTCAAAAACATAATCCTAAACACAATGTTAGAAACAGATTGAAAACAATTGTACTTAAAAGATTTCTTATCAAACGTTAGTATATAGCCTTCATCTTTCAGTTGAAATAGCTGATAGTTCAGAATTTACTGTTAGTCCTCTCTGAACATTAGAAATTCATGAAAAAAAGAATATGTCCCTCATAACCAGTATAACACTTTGTTTTTTTAACATATATTTTGGGAAGCCTAGTTGCCACCCCTCATTCAGCTTCAGCTTTGCCACCCCAATTATAAAATCCTAGACAGGCCACTGCGACTGGAAGAGCTTTTCCTCGGCTAATGCTTCTGACGTTTGCCACTGGCTGGCACAGTCTCGTCTAGTGGATAAACTTGACGTATAATTCGTCTTGTGTAAAAGTCTATCTTTAGTCTCGTCTAACTAGTTTAACTAGTTTGTTCCATGCCAAAAAAAACAACAAAACGTTTTGTTATTATAAATAAATATATATATTTATTTATTTCATTTTTTTACAGGATCTTCACTATCCATGAACAATAAAATAAAAACTTGGTCTTTGTTTGTTAAATGGCGATAAAAATCAATAACGTTTCATATTTTTAAAATGAAAACAAAAAGATCATGTTAATTTTGTTATTAATAGGCCTATATGGAGTGAAGATAATCAATTGTTTATTTACTTCGCCTGAACCAAATGTGTTTAAGATTTTTTTTTTTTAATGAAAAGAGGCAAAGTGGTGTTTTATAACAAATTTCGTTTTATTTTTGACGAAAAAAGGCAGACTTGTAGCATATTTCGTTTTATTGTTGCCTAAAATATAAATAAATAACCGGAGTAGCTAGCCAGAGCGTGCTGAGTGACGCGATCAAGTAGGCTATACGCTCTGTCATTTGCAGAATAAAAATTATCATAAAATATTCATCTTTGACTTGTCAAAGCACCTTTCCTCATAGTAACTGAAACTTTCAGTTATTCCTTTTAAGCTGGCTGACCGTACAAATATTCATATGATAGTAAGCATTTTTTAAAGGGAAATTATACATTATAACAGGAAAATGTACCTTTTGTAAAAAAAAAAAAAAAAAAAAAAAAAACGGAGTCTGCACATGCGCATAACCGGTAAGTAGCAAATCTCGATGGGTAGCATGAATTGTCAGAACACCTGTCTTGCGTCCTCTCGTCCTCGGGAGTTCGTTCTCCTGAGTCGTACTTGGCAAGTCTGAACCACAAAGGACGCAAGTCCGAACTTTGTTTGCGTACTTGGTATTGAGAAACGGCTGCATGCTTCCGTATTCTAAAATTACCAAGGCAGTCTATGGGAGTGTCGGTCGTAACCCAACGGCTTTGGTGTTTCCTAGAACATTGAATGATTGACATAGTTTCTGTACATTTCAAAACGTATTAACTGAAACGGATCTACCAGCTGCAACATGAGATTACTTGCGTTCATTTTCGTGGCGGTCACTCTGGTGGTGTCTGACGGTATGTAGGTTGGCCAATACTTTTTTCCGTGTTTGTAAATATTGCAAGAAAATGCTTAGCAAGAAAGGTTAAATGCCAAAATTGCTAGAGCGACTTTTTACATGTAATGAGCAGATGGAAATGTCAGAACTGGTCGCCAATTTACTTTATGATACACAAACACAATTATTTCTGTAAAAAAATTGTTTATATTGTTTTAAACTCGGCATGAACACAGTCTCAACTAGTAGTTCTTGTTTTTTTTTTTACAAAGACTCTTTCTTTGTAACCTAGACTTGTGCGACGTTTACAAACTGATTAATTTCATTTAAACGCAAGTGAAAGCAGATCTGCAACAACTTCCCCAGACTGCGGTCAAGTGGGCCGCGCGTGGAAAATACACGGTCAAGCCAGCCGCACATTTTTTTTATCATGCGCGTCAAATCCTGCACTTACGGTATGGGTGCTGAAAGACGCCAAAATTGATTTTAAAACTCCTTTGCCTGCTATTCCATCGTATTAGGACACAAATAATACAATTTCATGATTTTTTCCTAAAACATGACTTTTAATACTGTTTGTTTGTTGTTATTGTAATGTTTCTAGGCTATACCAAGTATAATGTATTCATGTTCATATTATTAAACATTATCATACATTTTTATTGTTAGTATTTACGTTTTTTAGAGACTACTTTCTGCTATTTTCCATCTTATTTGGAGACAAAATATATATATATATATATATATATATATATATTTTTTTTTTTAAAAACATGACTTTTTAATTTTTTTTTATTATTATTTTAATGTTTTTGGGCCTATATATGATTTACATTAATTTAAATTTTATTTTTTAAATATTTAATTTATTCATGCTCGTGTTAATGTTAATTGTCATACATCATTAGTTTTTTTACATTTAATTGTTAATTTGAATGTTTATATATATGTGTGTTACATATATATATATATATATATATATATAATTTGATTTTTTATTATACATTATTATTGCCTACTTTATTAATGTGAATGAAATTGAATAATAATATTAATTATCGATATATTTATTAAACATTTTTTTTTGTTGATTTTAATGTTTTTATACACTCATTATTATTATATGTAATGATGATTATTTACTTATTTTACTTTTTTATGTTAATGTAAATGACAAATATGATACAACAGGCTTTTAGTGGCTTTTAATCATTCAATTATCATTGAATTTCTCTCTCTATATATATGCGCTTCCATGTTCAAACGATATACACGTCCCATGTTCAAACACTCATAAAAATTGTTCATTCATAGGTTTGCTCATTCTCTCAATTGATTTCTGTTAAGAGGGACCCTGGCTATTACTGTATGTATTATCAAGTCATTTTACTGTATATTTTTGGAGAAAAATGCAGGCAAACCCAGCCCAATCATCAAAGTGTGTTATTAAACGACGTCCCATGTTCAAACACTCATAAAAAGTGTTCCTTCATAGGTCTGCTCATTCTCTCAACTGATTCCTGTTCAAAGGGACCCTGGCTATTACTGTGTTTATTGTCAAGTCATTTTACTGTATAGTTTTGGAGAAAAGTGCAGGCAAACCCAGCCCAATCATCAAAGTGTGTTACAGCACTTAAACCAGGTCCCATGTTCAAACAATCATAAAAAGTGTTCCTTCATAGGTTTGCTCATTTTCTCAACTGATTCCTATTCAGAAGGACGCTGGGTATTACTGTGTTTTTTGTTAAGTCATTTTACTGTATAGTTTTGGAGAAAAGTGCAGGCAAACCCAGCCCAATCATCAAAGTGTGTTATAGCACTTAAACCAGGTCCCATGTTCAAACAATCATAAAAAGTGTTCCTTCATAGGTTTGCTCATTTTCTCAACTGATTCCTATTCAGAAGGACGCTGGCTATTACTGTGTTTTTTTTGTTAAGTAATTTTACTGTATAGTTTTGGAGAAAAGTGCAGGCAAACCCAGCCCAATCATCAAAGTGTGTTATAGCACTTAAACCAGGTCCCATGTTCAAACAATCATAAAAAGTGTTCCTTCATAGGTTTGCTCATTTTCTCAACTGATTCCTATTCAGAAGGACGCTGGCTATTACTGTGTTTTTTGTTAAGTCATTTTACTGTATAGTTTTGGAGAAAAGTGCAGGCAAACCCAGCCCAATCATCAAAGTGTGTTACAGCACTTAAACCAGGTCCCATGTTCAAACAATCATAAAAAGTGTTCCTTCATAGGTTTGCTCATTTTCTCAACTGATTCCTATTCAGAAGGACGCTGGCTATTACTGTGTTTTTTTTGTTAAGTAATTTTACTGTATAGTTTTGGAGAAAAGTGCAGGCAAACCCAGCCCAATCATCAAAGTGTGTTATAGCACTTAAACCAGGTCCCATGTTCAAACAATCATAAAAAGTGTTCCTTCATAGGTTTGCTCATTTTCTCAACTGATTCCTATTCAGAAGGACGCTGGCTATTACTGTGTTTTTTGTTAAGTCATTTTACTGTATAGTTTTGGAGAAAAGTGCAGGCAAACCCAGCCCAATCATCAAAGTGTGTTATAGCACTTAAACCAGGTCCCATGTTCAAACAATCATAAAAAGTGTTCCTTCATAGGTTTGCTCATTTTCTCAACTGATTCCTATTCAGAAGGACGCTGGCTATTACTGTGTTTTTTGTTAAGTCATTTTACTGTATAGTTTTGGAGAAAAGTGCAGGCAAACCCAGCCCAATCATCAAAGTGCGTTATAGCACTTAAACCACGTCCCATGTTCAAACACTCATAAAAAGTGTTCCTTCATAGGTTTGCTCATTTTCTCATCTGATTTCTGTTCAGAGGGACCCTGGCTATTACTGTGTTTATTGTAAAGTCATTTTACTGTATAGTTTTGGAGAAAAGTGCAGGCAAACCCAGCCCAATCATCTAAGGGCCAATCCCAATTCTACCCCTTACCCCTTCCCTTTCCCCTAGCCCTACCCCTTCGCCTTTCCCTTGACCCTAGAAACAGAGTGGCAATGCGTAGGGGTGAAAATATTCCCCTAAGAAATGGGACACCACTACGCCTCCGTTAAACGTCATTATAAGTCGTCGCTAGCGCCTACGTCACAGGATATGCGGCGATGTTTATCACAACTTCCAAGATCCCGTCGACAGCTGCAGTTATCTCAGTTGCGTGGGTTACAGCTATTTTCTTGCATCTTGTGAAGTTCGCAGGAAACAACGGAGACGACGAAAATATGTTGCGGGACTATCGTTAGCAAACTACAGTAATTTTAGCGATTTTTTTACAAACGTTTCTGTGAAGAAACTGACCGTAAATATGAACACAATATTGAATGTAACATAAAGCAAATCATTATTTGTCGTTATAATACTTATTAAAGCCACAAATACTTAAATTTATGGGTCTCCTTTGTCGCTTGGGCAGCCAGTCTGGGTTAGCAGTGACACTTCTCATACCCCTTCGTTTGAAGTGTGCTCCCGAAAAATCTTCGTTTGAAGGGCTATCTGGCCCTTCACCCTAGCCCTCCCCCTCCAACCAAAAGAGAATTGGGACAGCCCTACCCCTTCACGTGGACGCGCAAAACGGAGGGGAAGGGGAAAGTGAAGGGGTAAGGGGTAGAATTGGGATTGGCCCAAAGTGCGTTATAGCACTTAAACCAGGTCCCATGTTCAAACAATCATAAAAAGTGTTCCTTCATAGGTTTGCTCATTTTCTCAACTGATTCCTATTCAGAAGGACCCTGGCTATTACTGTGTTTTTTGTTAAGTCATTTTACTGTATAGTTTTGGAGAAAAGTGCAGGCAAACCCAGCCCAATCATCAAAGTGCGTTATAGCACTTAAACCACGTCCCATGTTCAAACACTCATAAAAAGTGTTCCTTCATAGGTTTGCTCATTTTCTCATCTGATTTCTGTTCAGAGGGACCCTGGCTATTACTGTGTTTATTGTCAAGTCATTTTACTGTATAGTTTTGGAGAAAAGTGCAGGCAAACCCAGCCCAATCATCTAAGGGCCAATCCCAATTCTACCCCTTACCCCTTCCCTTTCCCCTAGCCCTACCCCTTCGCCTTCCCCTTGACCCTAGAAACAGAGTGGCAATGCGTAGGGGTGAAAATATTCCCCTAAGAAATGGGACACCACTAAGGGGTAAGGGGTAGAATTGGGATTGGCCCAAAGTGCGTTATAGCACTTAAAACACGTCCCATGTTCAAACACTCATAAAAAGTGTTCCTTCATAGGTTTGCTCATTTTCTTATCTGATTCCTGTTCAGAGGGACCCTGGCTATTACTGTATTTATTATCAAGTCATTTTACTGTATAGTTTTGGAGAAAAGTAGAGGCAAATTCAGCACACTCATCAAAATACGTTCTGGCACTTAAACCACGTCCATGTTCAAACATTCATAAAAACTGTTCTTTCATAGGTTTGCTTATTTTCTAAACTGATTCCTGTTCCGAGGGACCCTGGCTATTACTGTATTTATTATCAAGTCATTTTACTGTATAGTTTTGGAGAAAAGTGCAGGCAAACCCAGCCCAATCATCAAAGTGTATTCTAGCACTTTAAGCCACGTACCATGTTAAAACACTCATAAAAAGTGTTCCTTCATAGGTTTGCTCATTTTCTCAACTGATTCCTGTTCAGAGGGACCCTGGCTATTACTGTATTTATTATCAAGTCATTTTAATGTATAGTTTTGGAGAAAAGTAAAGTCAAACCCAGCCCAATCATTAACCCACGTCCCATGTTCAAATACTCATAACACTTCCGGTAAAATGACTTGATAATAAATACAGTAATAGCCAGGGTCCCTCAGAACAGGAATCAGTTGAGAAAATGAGCAAACCTATGAAGGAACACTTTATATGAGTGTTTAAACATGGGACGTGGTTTAAGTGCTATAACGCACTTTGATGATTGGGCTGGGTTTGCCTGCACTTTTCTCCAAAACTATACAGTAAAATGACTTGATAATAAATACAGTAATAGCCAGGGACCCTCTGAACAGGAATCAGTTGAGAAAATGAGCAAACCTATAAAGGAACACTTTTAATGAGTGTTTGAAAATGGGATGTGGTTCAAGTGGTAGAACACACTTTGATGATGGTGCTGAATTTGCCTGTACTTTTCTCCAAAGCTATACAGTAAAATGACTTGATAATACATAGAGTAATAGCCAGGGTCCCTCTGAACAGGAATCAATTGAGAGAATCAGCAAACCTATGAAGGAACACTTTTAATGAGTGTTTGAAAATGGGATGTGGTTCAAGTGGTAGAACACACTTTGATAATTGGAGTGAGTTTGCCTGTACTTTTCTCCAAAACCATACAGTAAAATGACTTGATAATACATACAGTAATAGCCAGGGTCCCTTTGAACAGGAATCAGTTGAGAAAATGAGCAAACCTATGAAGGAACACTTTTAATGAGTGTTTGAAAATGGGATGTGGTTCAAGTGGTAGAACGCACTTTGATGATTGGGGTGAGTTTGCCTGTACTTTTCTCGAAATTTATACAGTAAAATGACTTGATAATACATACAGTAATAGCCAGGGTCCCTCTGAACAGGAATCAGGTGAAAGAATGAGCAAACCTATGAAGGAACACTTTTTATGAGTGTTTTAACATGGGATGTGGTTTAAGTGGTAGAACGCACTGTGATTATGGTGCTGAATTTGCCTGTACTTTTCTCAAAATTTATACAGTAAAATGACTTGATAATACATACAGTAATAGCCAGGGTCCCTCTGAACAGGAATCAATTGAGAGAATGAGCAAACCTATGAAGGAACATTTTTTATGAGTGTTTGAACATGGGACGTGTAAATAGTTTGAACATGGGAGCGCATATATATATACAGTGTATATATATATATATATATATATATATATATATATTTAATGATAAGTGAAAGATTAAAAGCCACTAAAATCCGATTGTATCATATTTGTCATTTACATTGACATAAAAAAGTTAAATAAGTAAATAAATAAATAATCATCACTACATATAATAATAACGAGTGTATACATTATACAAACATTAAAAAACAACAAAAAATGCTAAATGAATGTATTGATAATTAACATTAATATTCAATTTCATTCACATTGATAAAGTAGGCAATAATAATGTATAATATATATATATATATATATATATATATATATAAACATTCAAATTAACAATTAAATGTAAAAAAAGTAATGATGTATGATAATTAACATTAACACGAGCATGAATAAATTAAATCTTTAAAAAATAAAATTGAAATTGATGTAAATCATATATAGGCCAACCAACATAAAAATAATAATAAAAAATAGTGTCTAAAAAACGTAAATATTAACAATAAAAATGCATGATACATTTTTAATAATATGAAATTGAATACATTATAATAATTAATATTTAAGCCTAGAAACATTACAAATAACAACAAACAAACAATATTAAAAGTCATGTTTTAGGAAAAAATCATGAAATTGTATTATTTGTGTCCTAATACGATGGAAAATAGCAGGAAAAGGAGTCTTAAAATCAATTTGGGCGTCTTTCAGCACCCATACCGTAAGTGCAGGATTTGACGCGCATGATAAAAAAATGTGCGGCTGGCTTGACCGTGTATTTTTCAAGCGCGGCCCACTTGACCGCAGTTTCCCCAGACGGCAAGCCATCGAAAGAATGTCATTAATGTTTGACGTTACCGCATTGAATCAACATCACGTCCGCGCCCGCAATTAATGTTGATAAAATTTAGATGTTGATTCAATGCGGTAACGTCAAACATTAATGACATTCTTTCGATGGCTTGCCGTCTGGGGAAGTTGTTGCAGATCTGCTTTCACTTGCGTTTAAATGAAATTAATCAGTTTGTAAACGTTGCATTGAATCAACATCTAAATTTTATCAACATTAATTGCGGGCGCGGACGTGATGTTGATTCAATGCAGTTAACGTGGTTTCGATTCTTCTACAGTTAAAATTAGCATTATTTTGGATTTGAAATTTGCAATGAAAATAACTAGGGACATGCGAGAGGGAGAGACGCAGAGTTAGACAACTCAGCGTGCATGGGAATAAATAAGCTAAAGTATCCTACAATATTCAAAAAATAATAATTCAAAAGTTTCCTTTGATTAGTTTGAAACTTGCTGCTGCTATACTGTGAATTGTCTTTCTTCTATTTTTTATTATATTTTTTTTAATGTTTGTTTCAGGTTTTTTAGTGAAAGGTCCCTCCGGTCCTCTGGTTGTTGCTCTGGGATCTTCAGTGGTTTTGCCCTGTTACGTTGATGAACCCTTACCATTGAAAGCACTGAAGATTATTTGGATACGCACAGATATTAATACACTTGTGCATGTGTACCAAGATTATGAGAGTCGACCAGACGCCCAGTATCAGGATTATCATGGCAGAGCTCATTTCTTCACTGATCAGATCAAACATGGAAACTTTTCCCTGCGTCTGGAAAACGTGAGAGCTGAAGATAAGGGTTTTTACAGATGTAAGGTTTACACTGAGCAGGAATTTGATGAAACCTTGGTGCAAATTAAAGAAATTGGTAAGTTTGGAGGGTATTATGAATGTACTATCTTTATAACCGTTTTCTGTTATGATATTGTTAATGTTTGTTCTTCCAGAGTATCTGAGTGTATCAGGATCAGCTGATCCCGTATCTGCATTTGTGGGTGAAGACGTCACTCTGAACTGCTATGTACACTCTCACATCACACCTGAACACATTGAACAGGTCTCATGGAGGAAGACGGATGAAGATGAAAACATCCAAGTTCTACTCTTGCAAAGAAATAAAATTCAGCCAGATTCATCAGATGAGCGATACAGAGACAGAGTTGGATTCTTTACTGATGAACTGCCCAAAGGAAACTTCTCTCTCAGTCTGAAAAGAACAAGACATGGGGACAAAGGAGTTTACATGTGTCATGTGAAGACTGGACATTTGTCCCAAAATACAACCGCTGTACTGGAGCGACTCGGTGAGTTAACAAGAGAACACATTTAAACTTAATTTTAGCATCTACCACAATCCATGTTACTATCCGACTCCAAATAGTTTGTGTAATCGAATTTCCATTATTCTCAATGGACGGTCGCCAGTTTTGACAAGTAAATGAAACTAACTTAGTTGAACAGAACTTGTCAAAAAACATAAATATTTCAAAAGATTTATTTAGCCTTACATAATACCCTACAATATGTGTAACCTTCAAATAAAGTCACCTTTATTTATACAGCGCTTTATACAATAAAGATTATTTCAAAGCAACTTTACAGTAATGACAGGAAATAATGCCTTGGGAATAATGCATTCCCAATTTGATTGTTACCATTGTTGTTTTGCATGCTGAAGTCTGTGTGTGACTCAAACATGGTCTATTGCATATATTCTTACAAATGTAGAGGGATTATATCAACCCATTTCAAACCTTCACAAGGTGTTTATGACACAAGCTGAAAGAATGTTTCAGGAATGTCACACTAACCTTAAAGAAAACACTACACTAACATCAAGAAAACTAGACATTTTAATGTTTCCATAACCAAAACTGAACATTTGGGCAACGTTCTTCGAAAAAAATTGTTAAATGGGTATTTTATAGGATATATTACCATGTCTAATTCTAATGCTTTTTAATAGATTGTTGGTTTCTATTGTTGGTCAGACTCTGAAGTATTGCGCATACATGTACAGCTTTTGCGCTCCCCTTTAAATCGTAAAATATGTGCTGAAATAACATAAAACCATTTTTCTTTGTTTCATCAAACCCAGTTAATGATTGTAAACTGTGGTTTATGTGTTTATATGAAGTCTCTGTGATGAACTGTACATCAATAAATGCAGCTATTTTTGAACACAGAAGTTTGATAAAGTCTTCATTTAATCACATTATTTATTATTACACTGTTATGGAGTAGGCTAGATCATCCAAATATTACTTGGTACATATTATTAACCAAGTATCGCACCTGTATTACAGAAAACAGTCAATCTGATGTTCAGTAACTGATGTCTGTGTCACAGGTTTCTCTGTTTTACACACAACAATCTTGGCTCTCTGTATTTCTGCATCTGGATCAGCTCTGCTGCTCTCTCTAATCTACTGCATATTACAAGATAACGTGACAGGTAATGACTGGAGAAAATTATTTGCTGTAATGAGTTTATGGTGTATCACTACATGGCGATTATAGTTACTTCATACTTCTAAGTGAAATGTTTTTTTTTTCTTCTCTAGCCCCATATCTCAACATTTGTCTCAACTTTCTTCCAAACATTATGATGTTTGTGGCTCTTCTCCTCTGGGGTATTTCTAATGGTGAGTATTTTCTTAGTTTTTTCTCGCACTTTATTTCAGATTTAGAGTTGATCTAGTGATCAGGATCAGAATAAGATGGAATTGTTTCCAGCATGAAAAAACACTACCAACAAGAGAAAGATAACTACAATAAAATAAAGAGAAGAGAAGTGAATTAAGTAAGTAATAATTGATGACGGACGATTGAATTATTTGAAAAATAATGCACACCAGAGGTGAAATGGCTAGTAGTTGACCGACTGATATGGGTAACTATTTTATATATATATATATATATATATATATATATATATATATATACTGTATATACTGTGTGTGTGTGTGTGTGTGTGTGTATGTATCAATCATTTGATTTATTTATATATATATATATATAAACACTGTAACAGGGCACTCAGTAATCTGGTAATTTCATGCACACTGATAATTATATTTAAAAAAAACAAAACTTTTTTGACTAACTTTTGAAAAGGTTACGTTAATTTTACATACAGCACACAGTGAAAAAGACACACACATATATATTGATGTATTAAGATCTCTTTTTGTTTCAGGTTTCCTGCATGAGACTGTTGCTTGCTCTGCTCTATTTTTACTGAGGCCTATCATGCTGTTCAGAGCTCGACCACATTTAAAAAGATCTTGTGGTATGTTTTATTTAATTATTGTCAACTACTCATTAAGAATCAACTGTGATTGATCACATTTTCTGTTTCATTCTGAACCCTCTGTTGTTTAGTCTGTGGTTTTTCAGACTGTATATAATTTCAATCGTGTATTTGAAGTTTGATTTATCAAGTTCCTTTCTGTACGTAATGACACTTGCTATACTCAGTACTATATTCACAGACAGGGTTTAGATTAAGCCAGGATTAGGCCTTAGTTTAGGGCATTTAAGTTGCTTTTATAATGTGTCTTAGAAAAAACATTACAGATGTGCATCTTGAGACAAAACAATGGCACTGACATTTTAAGATATGCTTCAGTTAAAACAGCACAATATTCCATTTTAGTCGGAGACTAGCTTTAAGCCTTGTCTGTGAAACCAGTGGTAAAATGAGACTGAATTGTATTTTATCAATTGAATTTAAATTTGATTTAGTTATTGATGTTGCATTTTACAGTGATCAATCATAAATGGATGAATTATGGAGTTTGGAGTTTTATTGAATACAGTGTTTTTACTGCTGTTGTCTATTCAGGTAAGCATATTATATTTCATATATATCAGGCACATAAAAAACCAAAGTCTCCAAAAGCCTTGCGATAATAAATAAAGCCAAACAGGTACTTGATGAGAATGCACTACGTATCTTGTATTGTTCCTTAATTTTACCGTACTTAACTTACTGTGTTGAAGTATGGGGAAATAACTACAACAACTTAATACAATCACTATTTATTCTACAAAAAAGGGCAATACGTATTATAAACATGGCTGATTATCTTGATCATACAAATCCACTTTTTCTTAAATCTAAATTATTAAAAATACAGGACCTAGTTAAAGTTAATATAGCAAAATTTCTATTTAAAGCATTTCACAACCTTTTACCTTCTAACATACAAAAGTTATTTACACAGAGTGAGCAGTCGTATAGTTCGAGGAGTTATGGGAACTTTGTTATGCCTGTGGTCAGAACAACTAGGAGAAGTTTTTGTGTGTCTGTATGTGGAGTTAAACTTTGGAATAGTTTGGGGCTGGAACTGAAACAAAGCAAAAATATTCATCAATTTAAAGTACATTATAAACAGAAGGTCTTATCGCAATACACGTCGGAAATGGTTTAATTTCCTGTTGTATTCATTGTATTTTGTTAATATTACCCTGTAGGTATTCTGATTACCATTGTTGGTATTTTCTTAGATCCATGTGTTTATACTCTGTTTTATTTTACCTTGTAGGTAATTGATTACCATTGTTGGTATTATTATAATTGTTACCTGAGTTCATGATCATATATGGTGTGTATTTAGGATATGTTTTGTTTTGTTTTGGTATTGTTTGGCCTTTGATGAGGGAGAAAGGGTTTCCCTTCCTTCCCTTCTCATGTTTTCATATATGTACTTATGTTCAGAATTGTTATTGAATGTTATGATAATGTGTAAGGAAGTAATTATTATTGTTTTGTTTTCCTGTTTTTGGTAACCGGGGTGGGTTCAAATAAGTTTGACTTCTATCCACTCCGTTTCGAGCAATAGATTTAGGTTTTGTTAAAGTCGATGTAAATATTATGAATTTAAAGGCTTGTACAGATTAACCAAAATGCTGCGTATTGCCTTGTCATGTGTAACTACATATTGCTCGAAATAAACAAATAAATAAATAAAATTAAATAAATAAATAAATAAATATATACTGTATATTTCATCGCTTGTCTGAAGAACTCTAAAGAGAGGTTACTTGTGTGACATCATAATTTAATCTAAAAAGTTATTAATCTAAAATTGTTTTGTAAATGAATTGTGCAATAGTTTTGCTGTTGTATAATTTTGCAGAATTAAACTTGGCATTCAGTATTTTTATTTGGTTTCTTTTTTTCCCTCCATAGTTATTTCACCATATAGTCTGGACAGTCAGCAATTTACTATTTATTTTAAATGCTTGACGACATCAAGTACCTTTATCTTGCTGATTCTGTTTGCTTGCTGTAAGTATCACATTTATTTATTTTATCTAAGTTATAATATTGACAAAAATTTACTTAAAATGAAACATATATATAAATATTGATAAAATTGACTCTTATCATTATTACATGTTCCTGGGCTAATTTCAAATGATTCATGCAAGATTTTTATTGACATTATTTAGACTGCACTAACTCGAAATTACCAATAGTCAAGCTGAAGTTTGAACAGTCTAAGCCTGTCCTCTCTTCAGCTGGATCCACACGGTATTTTATTTATTGCAATTGGGTTTAATTGAATCCCATCTCAAAAATGAATTTGTCAGATTGAATAGTTTCATAAAAAACAACAGGATCAGGAGATCTTATGGTCTTATTTTAGGGAGATGAGAGGGTCTGTATGTCATTGGAGAAGCGTAACGGTTAACTTGGATCACATGGGGCACCTTAGCCTATTGTGTTAATGCAGTGACGTCGGTGCATGCAGTTCAACATTTTATGACAGTCAGTTACAGCTTACGTTAATCAGTTTCATGGATTATTAACACGTTGGTCTTGTGAATAAATATTCTATATTTGGTGTTATATCATTAGTAAAGTTACAGTAGCACTGCATTGTTTGTGGAATGTACTTTACTGCAGAAAAGAGCATGAATATTTATACTTGTACTAGTCACTGCAGGGTGCAAAGGAAAACTACGTTTAAGATTACACTAAACACTTAATTGTGATTGAATACAAATTTAATTAATTAAAATGATTTGTATTTGTTACCATAATTTATTAAAAGGCGTTATATCATCATTGGGCACACATTAGTTGACACACTTCATGTTTTATTTTAAATAAACAACATAGAATAACACAATATTTTATCTTTTTTTAATAAAGTTCATAATATCGTGTCATAATAATTGCATACATGCAGATAGAACAGTAATTACAATTCAAGTCTTTTAATAACTGATAAAACCTGAAAGACAAAGAAGGAAAACATCAGTATTTTTTTAACTTTCTTTAGACAATATAGCCTACAATATCATTCAATATTAGGCTAGGCTCATAGACGGTATAAGAAGGGCTAGGCTACTATTAAAATACTATGCCGTAAATGAGTCCTGCCTGTCGCGACATTCCCTTCTCTGCTTTCCCTTATAAAATAACCTTTTTATCATAGTAAAATGTACATATCATTCCCAACAAAAGTATTGTTTAGCGTAAAACATGTTGAAGATTACCATACAGACTGTCGATTACTTAAACAAGGTCTTTCTTATTTTTCTTATTTTCCGATAAGGTCTTTCCTCGCAAAAACAGTTTATTCAGTGAAGTAAAGCCTCCTCTCCATTGACAACCATTCATAAAAAACGGCCTCTGCTCTCCTTTCCTGCATACCATTAGCCTTTTTTATTTATTTATCATCTAGTGCCCTTTAATTCAGTACTCTTTCAGAAGATACTGTAATAGCACCCCTACTGTATAACAGTGAAAACATGGAAAGCAGGAAAATTCAGTCACTGGCTGGGAAGCGGTTTTTCACAAATGACAGAAAATTCTGTGTTTGCCGGGGAAAGAGTTAAAGCGCCTACATTGAGAATTGACAGAAACACTTGTTTTTAGCCACACTGGTGGCTGTTAAGTGAAATGGAGTAACTTATTGCTCATGTTCATGCACCTGACGAAAGCGAAGCCTCGGCCAAAAAATTGACTGAACGTGGTTCACTGACATAAAATTGACAGATTAGTATAAACATGTCGACAGGATCATTTAAATATTGACAGGTTAATTTCCTTAGGATTTTCCCGGAAAACCCGTCCTGAGTAGGCTACTCAAAAAAAAAAAAAAAAATAATTCACAGGTTTTCATTGGCAACCTACAGTAGGAAGTCAGAGTGAAATGAAGAGGTTCGATAGTAGACTAATTTTAAAGGATGTGAAACGCAGCAGGCAGTCGGTCAGAACTGTATAAGATGAGGCTTAGTTGAACAGACACACCAGGCAGGGTTCAAACTTCACTTATTTACTGAAGAGCTGGTTGATTTACATATGGGGTATGTAGGTGTGGTTCTATAACAAATTAAACAAAGAAATAAACATTAACATACATATACATCATTAATAATAAACATTATTAACAGCATTCAGTCTAACAAACCCATTAAGGAAGTGCTATCAGACAGAATAATAATTCTAAACATCACCACAAGGAGGTGCTAATAGCACATAAATGCGTTTAACTAGACATTCCATATGCTCAGTATACGGCGCTGATTACCTCATGATAATGATCATCTCTAAAGTAACCGTAAAACTAATAATAACATAATGTCTCATACATAACATAAAGTAACATGCAGAATCTCCGAAAAATTACTAAAGAAGAAGTAATACAGGCAGATTTATGCCAATCAGGTATCGCTCGCGCTAATGAACATCGTCTAACAGTTTCTGCATACTAACGGAAAAACTTGGAAATATAAACTTACTTGGTATGTACGCACACAGCGACTCAATGTATATGTAAACCAGCTGAATAATCGTCGAACACTACAGATTAACTAAACTGAAACTGTCAAGTATCTTAACTAATAATTATGATGCGTCTTCTCTCTCCGACTGAATCCACCTCAGCACCAATTCACCTCAGCACGAATGTCACTATGGCAACCTTGTACTCTATGATTGGTTGAAATCGTCCAGGACATTTAAAGGTATCCGGGCCTTTTGTACAGCCGCCCCCGAATTCAAGAATTGAATTCGATCATCTTGAAAAGGCCTACATTTTGTCCTGGTCATCCTCAGGTAGAGCTGGAAGCTGGATGAGGCGAGCCGCAATCCGCGTGTAAGTCCTACCCTTAACATCTACGCTGGCTGTCCGGACCCGCCCATCGGTGCCTGGAAACACCTGAGTGATCTTGCCTACTGGCCAGAGAGCACGAGGAAGTTGGGGGTCGACGATCATGACCACATCTCCACTCTGCAACGACTTCCTCTCAGTCTGCCACTTCTGGCGAGCTTGGAGACTAGGTAAGTAGTACTTGAGAAAATGTCTCCAAAAATGGTCAGCCAGCAGTTGGCTGTGGCGCCAGCGCCTGCGACTCAGGATCTCGGACTCTTGGTAGACTACCTGAGGTAAGGATGCGTCTCGACGGCCGATTATGAAGCAGTATGGGGTTATTGGATCGGGGTCGGCCACATCCGAGGAGGTGTACCCAAGAGGCTTTGAGTTGAGAATACCTTCAACCTCGATCAGAACTGTTCTTAAGACTTCCTCAGTGACAGTCTGAGTCCCGATGGTCACTCTGAGGGCTGTTTTGATCGAGCGGCTCTCTCTCTCCCAGCAACCGCCAAAGTGTGGGGCACCTGGCGGGTTGTAAACAAACTTTATCTTCTGGCTGGCGAGGTGACTCTGTAGTGCCTCTTGGAGGGTGGCGAAAGAGTCATCTAATTCCCGTTCACCTCCCTTAAAGTTGGTGCCTTGGTCGCTCAATAACTCGTACGGTTTCCCTCGCCGGGCGATGAACCGTCGTAGGGACATCAAGAACGAGTCAGAGTCGATACTGGTGAGAAGATCAAGATAGACGGCCCTGGTGGTCATACACTTGAAGATTATGCCCCACCTCTTCTCGTTCCGACGGCCGATCTTAATAATGAAAGGGCCGAAACAGTCCATGCCAGTCGAGTAGAAAGCTGGACGAAAATATCTCTGTCTGGTCAGGGGTAGGTCGGCCATGAGGGGAATTTCTGGACGACCTTTCCATTTCCTACACTGCGTACACTGACGCTGGTATCGGCGGACAGCTTCTCGACCTCTCAGAATCCAGTATGACCTTCGGATCTCTGTGAACAGTCTCTCTGTTCCGGGGTGACACAATCTCTCATCATAATCCTTGATAATCAACTCTGTAGTAGGATGTCGAGGGTCAAGGACCACTGGATGAGCAACATCTGCTTCTAGTACCTCACAATGTCGGAGACGGCCTCCTACACGAATCAATCCAGTAGCAACGTCAAGCTCAGGGGAGAGTGAAACCAATCTGCTAGAGGCTGACACTGGTTTATCGGACTTCAGAAGTTTCAACTCATCAGGAAAGGACTCTGACTGAGCTTGGCGAAGGACTGCATGTTGAACGTCTCTTTGGAGATCAGCACTGGAAGAGTAGGCCGCCCCGTGAAGCTTCTGTCCATAGGCATTCAGACACTCTGACAGTGTGTTATAGTGAGGTGACTGAAGTGAGTGTGCAGTTGTGGTCACTAACCCAGAGAAAGCTGACTGTCTCAACTCACTGCTTGACTCTTCGAACGACAGAGGGGGCTGCCCGGGCCAACTAGCCGGTGGCAGCTTGAGGAAGGCTGGTCCCTGGCTCCAACGGCTCCCTGTAGCAAGGTCACGTAGAGGCTTGCCTCGAGTGATGTCATCCGCTGGATTGTCTGCAGATCTGACATAGCGCCAGTTGGCTGAAGCTGTTATCTCTTGGATCTCCGCCACCCGTGTTCCTACGAACACCTTGTAGCGACATGAGCTGGAAGTAAGCCATGTGAGCACGGTGGTGGAGTCTGACCAGAGCGTAGTGGAGTGAATGGGAATTGTAAGCTCTGTATTCAGGAGTTGGGAGAGTTGTGCTCCAGTGAGAGCGGCACACAGCTCTAAGCGGGGTATAGATTGCTGCTTCCGGGGCGCAACGCGGGATCTGGCGGCGACAAAGATGACTTCCACTTGACCTTCTTTGTCCTCTGTCCGCAGATAGGCCACGGAACCATACGCCTGCTCAGATGCATCACAGAAAACGTGGATGTCGTATCTACAGGACTGGTGATCCATCTGCGAGCTGACATAGCACCGAGGTAAGGATATCTTCTCTATCCCACTCAACTCTTTCTCCCACTCTAACCATGAAGTAATGAGTTCTTCAGGTAACTGCGGATCATCCCACTCGCGCTTCTTATCCCATAATCGCTGGACCAATACCTTCGCCCGGGTGGTGTAAGGGATCATATAACCGAGAGGGTCATATTGGCTGGCCAGCACGTGGTAGATACTGCGCATTGTCACAGTAGAGCAGCGGCTACCTCTGTGTTTGTAACGTAGGGTGTCAGACTGACAATGCCAGTGTAGTCCGAGCGTAGACTCATGGGTGTCTTGTTGGCCATGACTAAGCCAGAGGTCACAGGTATTTGATCTTGACTCAGAAGAGAGGTGAGTAACCACTGACGGGCAATTACTGGCCCATTGTCGAAGCTCAAACCCTCCGGTGGTTAAGAGAGAACATAATTGGTCAACTAGGTCTCTGGCCTCTCTGGGAGAGTGAAGACTATGTAGACAATTATCGACATAGAATGATCTTTCGATTACCTCTCTGACTGGGTCCCCAGACTGGCTGTGGTCTATGACATGCCTCTGCAAGGCATAGGTGGCACAACAGGGACTGCATGTGGTACCAAAGGGGAGAACTTGCCACTGGTACACATCAGGGGGTTGTTCTGGCTTCAGGTCACGCCACAGGAATCTGAGGAGGGGCATGTCATCAGGGAGCAGCCTCACCTGGTGAAACATACCTCGAATATCACTGCTTATGGCCACCTGATGCTCTCGGAAGCGGAGCAGAAC